GCCACCTGCTCCTCCAACTCGGAAATTTTGTCGGGCAGCTCCCTCAGCTTCGTTGTGTCCAGCGACACGTTGTCGTACCGCTTCGCCAGCTCCTTGCCCTTCCTCTCCAGCTCCGTCACCATGTCTGCGACCTCCACCTTGAGAGCCTTGAGTTGCGCCTTAGCCTCGAGGTTCGCCTTCTCCAGCTCCAGATTCTCCTGCGGCGTGACGATGACGGGCGGATCGCCAACGATGGCGCGTATGAACTTTTCTTTCGTGACTTGCTCGACGTAGGAGAACCGCAGCTTGGCGAAGAGCTCCTTGTAGTGCTCGAGGTCGGCCTCTAGGCTAGCTGGTGTCGCGGCATCTTGGGATGCGTTGGATGCGTCTGACGTCCGTTGTCGTGATTCTTGCGCGACGGCGCTGGAGATGGGTTCGCTGAGTCGGATGATTGAGATTTCATGGTTCTCATTAAGGTCTTCGATTTTGCGCAGCACTTGGGCCGCCTTTCCCGCGTCCATTGTTTGGAAGGCCGATTAGCTGTGTTGTTGTCGTATATCTTGGCCCCAGTAGGCGCGCTGTCGATTCAAGTTTCGTCGTTGGCGCGTCGGAGATGATGTCGGCGGGGAAGATCCTGTCGCGGTTGTTAATTCTTTGCCCTCAAGCGTTCAAGGTCTGTCATTAAGGTAACTAATGGTAAGGTGGGCGCTTCACCTTTGTGACGTTTGTTTACTTGGGTCTAGATTGGGTAAGGTCACATCTTTATCTTATCGCCATCTCCGACTCACTATTATCTGCTGATAAGCTACTTGGCCGTGCGGAAAACGGCAGGCATGGCGCAGGCTCGTCCCACTGCGCGCCAAGTCCCTTGTCGATGTGACTCTGGCAGCCTTTGCTGCTGTCGTCGATCAATCCTCCAAACGCCGCAGTTTGCGACAACGACATCTCTCAACTAAGCGAACCCCCGCTGTCCCTCTCTATCGCTTCATTCAACAGCCTCATTGAAGAGCCCTGTCGCTGTCACTTTCGAATTCTTTCATCGATCCGAGACCGGCACTTCTAGAACCCCCGCGCTTCTCTTCTATTCGCGACAAAAAGAGGCACATACCCCAGCTACCTTAGCGGCCGGATGCCGCAGCCATCAGCCTGATCAAAAGTGATCGGAAGGCGCGTGGTCATCTCATCACCTTTTGGATCTAAGATTTGGGTACCAAAGCCTCACAATGTCAAGCCACGACATGATCACGGACGACTACGTCGCCGATTTGCTCGCCAAAGAGGCAGTCGCGGGCAGGGCAGACAAGAAGTACGTCCCACGACTCTCCCGGGTCCCTCACGTCACCATCTAATTGGATCCTCCCTTTAGACCGGCAAATATGCCTAAACCAAACACTCGTTTCCTGCGCCACATTATCAAGGATACGAATACGCACAACAAGAATCTCCTAGCCAAAGAGGCCGCAGAGTCTCGCGCGCGCTTGAAGGATCTGGAACATGCCGAGGAGAAGGAGAAGCGGAGAAAGGCAGGCCCACAGGATATTCGAAAGAGACAGATGGGAGATATCCTATCCATCTTAGGAGACCGCAAGGACATAGCCAGGCTCAGTCGATCGGGAACGTCGAAAGAGAAGTCGCACAAAAAGGAAGGCTCGCCACCGCGGAGGGCACATCACAAAGAACGCAGGAGCGAATCTCCAGAACGCGAGAGCGATAGGAAACACCGCCGGAGTAGAAGGGACGAATCGGATTCGGAGCGGGACGACCGTCGACGACATAAGAGCGATCGGCGGAGGTCACGCTCACCCGACGAAAAGCACAGGAGGCACCGCCATCGGTCGCCAATCGAGGATAGGGAGACTGCGTCAAAGTCCCGGCGAAATGATAGGGAAAGGAGACGAGACGAAGAAGGACAGGATCTAATGTCGAAGAGTCATCGGTCACGCAGAGACCGGAGCCGGGAGAGGCCACAGTCAGGATTCTCGATCAAGGGCAGTAGCCGTCGCCGCGATGGAGGGCGGGTGCACGAGCAGGAGCCCCAGACGACAACGTCAGACTCGGATCCGTTGGACGAATTCATTGGGCCGGAACCACCGCAGCAAGTCCGTTCGCGCGGCCGGGGCACCGCCATGGGGGCCTCGGGTATCGACAAGCGCTTTGAAGCAGACTACAATCCCAAAACGGACGTGGAGATGGCCGACGACGACAAACACCCGGGAGAGAATTGGGATGACGCCGTGGAGGCATTCAGGGACAGGCAGAAGTGGCGGCAGAACCAGGAGGAGCGGATGCGGGCGGCCGGGTACACCGATGTGATGCTGAAGAAGTGGAGGGAGGGCGGTACGGCTGACGAGCAGAAGGACGAGCGGGATGTGCGGTGGGCCAAGGCCGGGGAGAAGCGCGAGTGGGATCGCGGCAAGGAGGATGGGTTGAGCGGGTTGTTTTCCGAGTTCAATTGAGTCCCTGACGCGCGAGGCGGTGGACCTGGCTTTCTTGTTGCATTGCGTTCGTCGTTTAGGAAGCAGGCTTTGGGTCATGGCCAGGAGGCGTCTGCATTGTTGAAATGCATCCCAGGGTATCGTTTGAAGCATTTGCATTAGTTGGATGGAGTTTTGGTACGTTGATGATCGATGATGAATTTTAACTGGATTGTCTCATTTTGGGAGCGCGATGTGACTTGAGGAGTAATTACATGCGAGTAGCTGTAGGAGGAACTTCTGGATGCCGTGTACAGACCCATCTTTACTGAGAAAGATGTAGAAACAATCGGCATCGTTTTGGATATCCCAACATTCGATTGAAAAAAAGCACATTGAGAGACACACATCACAAGATGGGCTGAGGCTAGAATTGACGCCCTCATCTGGACCATCTGCGAGTGAAAGCACCATCAAAACCAGGGATCGTGGATGAGGTGATTGAGGCATTCGAAACAGGATGACAGTATGCGAAGTAAGATTTATCTTCACTTCCTAGCCTCAGCCTCATCTGGAGGGGTAGAAGGTCGTAGAAGCCACGACACTGGTTCTTAGTGATGACGTTTGTTTCGACACTCAATCCGAGAACCTCACAGGCACATCAACCACGAGACATTGTCTGAGTCTCAATTGCCATACGGATGAGAAGGAGGTTTCTCATGAGAAGACGGCGTAGAGGGGGGGAATGTCATTTGTAGCGACGGGGAAGATATGTTCGCAAACAGCGTTTCACTTCCCATTCACCAGGGAAGCAGGTGGGGGGATGTTCTTGATTACACCCCTGCCCGAGAAAGGCTGTGAAACAAAAGCTCGGGAAAGAGAACCCCCATCATCAATGGCGAGAAGGGGTCCATTTTGTCAGTGGAGGCTAACTTGATTCGGCGAGGAGGGGTGAAGGGGTTAGAAAGGTGGGATGCATCATATACAGGATACGGGTACCGGGGATTTTCTTTGTACGTAGTTCGTCCGTATGGGAATGAGAGAAGGGGAATGTGATGGTGAGAGGAACAGATGACGGGAGTGGCGTTTCCGCTCGCGTGCAGTTTTCAGGTACGAGAGAGAGGGAGAGGAATGCGGATACCAGGGGAATGAAAGGATGCCGAACTTCTTGAGTGGATGAAAGCGGCGTGGAAGGAGGAATGGAATGTGGGATGGGGAAAAGTTGAATAAAGGTTCTGCGCCACCGCCGGGACGGCACTGCCACGGGGTGTTCGTCGCCGGGTGAGGGTTGGTATTGAGGACGGCGGGAATGAAGCCCCGGGGGCATGTGCCGGGGGGCGGAAGGCGGACGGTGGGTGATGTGTCGGACGTCATGGAGCTGGTGGACCGCTGTTGGTTTCGAGTGAGGGTGAGATGGAGCATTGGAGAGTGTACGCACTCCGTACAGTACCGTACATACATGGAGAGGGATGAGATGCATGGGTGCTTAAATCTGTAACGCGTTTCTAAGTCTGGTGAAGGGGGTGGACGATACGACGTTGGGAGCATGGTTTGTTTTGTTTTGGTTGGTTGGTTTGGGTCGAGGGCTCAAGCCTGGCCTTCAAGCCTCACTTCAATCCTTCACGGTGAGGTTGGCTGGTAGGATTTAGAGGAGCCCAGGGTTGAATTGAGTTTTCCCCTGTGCCACCATCCCCCCCTCGACGGTTCGAGGTTCGAACTCAGGGTATCGAGCGGAATACCCTGCGTGTCACTGAAAACGGGATAAACACTGGGAGGGTTGGCGAGGTGAGACGCCTTGACGCACTGTGATTGTCTGTTCGCCTGCTACTCTACCTACCTTGGAGGCCCAGATACCTTTAGAGCTTTAGGTAGCACGGCAGGTAGACACGTAGACTAAAGAAAGGTAAGGTTATTCGCGTGCGGTATGAACTCAACGGACGACGCACGGTTCGTTGTGGGTGAGGACTGGATGGAGATTAGGTGGAAGAGGTTCACGATGCTGGGTAAGCTCACGTGAGGGTTGGGAATTTGGGCAGAGGATCTGTATCCGCAAGGTGACATGCTCGACTTTGCAGGGCGGATGGGGATATGTGGGACGAGGTACGGATAGCTCATGCAAGCACTTTGGACTCGGCGGGAGGCTGTTGATGATGACTACCTCATCAATTCACGTCTGTGTCTACTTTTCTTTCACTTCCCAAAGCCCGGATTAGGTCGAGTTTCCTCGTTCGGGCATGAGAAGAAGCGCTTCTGCCTTTGTTGCTTGTCTCTCTTGACCAGTATGAGATATCTCCGGCAGTAAGTAAGTCACTTGCAACTTCTCGATCATGACCTCGCCGAGTCGGCCCCCCGCCGCTGTCTTGACTTTTGAGATTTGGGTTAGGTTTCTTTCAGGACCGCTAGGCCGTGACGAGTCTGGGCGTTTCTGGCATCCAGAAAAAGCAAGGGACTGCTGCAAACGCACACACCCCTTTTTGCAGTTTACTGTTTAGATGCTTCCCCTCGTCTCAGTTGGGTGTTTAGTCACGAGGGGATTCAGGTCAGTCAGTGTACTCCGTACCTTCTTGGTGCGTAGTGGCCTGTGAAGTCATTGGCAACCCCGACTTGATGGAGAGATTCTTTGTTTGCGTGCGTGTTTTGGTAACGGTATCTGCAGGGCCTGTACGGGATACCGCGCGTTTAGAGCTAAGCTGCTGCGCCCGGTTTCTAGGGTGTCGTTCACTCGTCCCTCGGGAACGGTGTAAGAGGCGAGCGAAGCGACCTCTGGACTCTGCTGCCTTGAGTACGATGTGCGGGCCATACGGGAATACGGGTAACTCGTCACCCTCATTTCCCGGGTTGTCATATTCGACGCGAGAGTGTAAGTTGAGCTCCAGTTGGTGTTTGGACGCTTATGGAAACTTAACGGGAAAGGGGTAGGGGCAGCTTAAGGAATTGAACGCTGAGAGGGCTCAGTCGGCTCTGGCGCTTGCGAGACGATCGCGAATTGTTAGAGCTCCTTCGATTGTGGTTCAATCTCGCCATGCGCGGCTGGGCGTCAAGGTCTACCTCTCATGTGCTTTCCTGTGAGAGTCGCCTGTCCGTCCTGAAGCATCGGATGTGGAGAATAGGGGAGAAAGTTGAGATGGTGGAACGTGAAAGTTGAGTTTACTGAAGCAATGGTGCAGCAGCGACGAGCACGCGACGACAAGCAGCATCCAGGACAAACTACCCTCCCTCTGGCTTCCTCTGGCTCCCTCTGGGGCCGGGCCCAGGACCCCTCGATAGGTCGATGGTTGGATACCAAGATACCAAGATACCAAGCTTGAGTGAGACTTTGTGCGTGTGCCGCCAAAGCCGGCCGACCCTGCGACCCATCCCCTGCGACCCTGCCACACCCTGCGGGCGAGCGTGGCTGGGATGGGGTGTACTTTTGACAGCCGTGGATTGCGGTGGACCATGGACTATCACCTGAAGAAAGAAAAGGTGATTAATACGGGTACACTTGAGGCATGTAGATGGCGGTGTTGATGATTTATGGTCTTTTTTTCATGACTGATTAGAAAAGATGAGTGAGTAGATTGTCTACTCACTTGATGATCTTAGCGAGTGATATTGCTGCTACCTTGTTGAGAGGGAGAGTGAGAGCGAGAGTGAAAGTGAAAGTCAATTGTGAGGTGAATTACATGTGTGGCTCCTGACCAGACCAGTCCCGCGTGCCCACGCCATCAAACTGAAAAGTGCACGCGCGTGAGGTGTGCCCCGATGCGCCGTGCGTCCGAATTTCACCTCTCAGCCAAACAGGGGCCCCCAAACCCCCCGACTCGACGACTCCATTTCCATGAGCCCATGGTACATGGATGAGTCCATTTTGGGACCATCACTCCTGCTGGCGGTCACGCTTTCATGTGCAGTTATTGCCAAATGACAGTCGGCTGAGGTAAGTACCTTCTCATTGCAGAGTAAGTGAGGTATGGTGAGTTCTAGTGTAGTGAGTGAGGTGTGTCATTGATAATTGCACGAGAGCAGGAGTGAGTGAGCGACAGACAGACGGGAGGCCCCGGCACCTAAACAGCAACGCCGCGCCCCGCCACCAAATGCGGACGGGACAGACCCTCCTGGTGTGTCACTGTGGTTCAGTCTTCCATCTCCATTGTTTCTCTCTCCTCGAGTCACAAGTCACAAACCTTTGGAGTGTCTATCCGTCCTTTTCTCTTCCATTGCTCTAGTCGTTCCATCCCACACCTCTACTTACTTACTCTACCTTACCTTACCTTACCTCATCCGACGGTGTCTCTGCATGGCGTCTGCTGCTCTGCTCTGCGCTGCGTGCACACCCAACCCGCCGTGCCGCCCACACTCAAATTGACTTCTCCCACTCTACACCAGGTTACCTTACCTTGCTGCGGTCCCGAACCTGAATAACCTGATCGGCACCTCGTCATTCAACTTTCTTTCTCCTGTTGTTTCCCGACCACCGAAATACCAGTCCCATTTCTCTCGTCTCTTGACCCGACGCTTCCCGCCGGCACACCAAAGAGAGACCCGCAGAGTGCGTCCTTGTGTGGGAAAGGCTGCTGCCCAACACCTTCACCCCTCCAACTAAAGGCCCTACGGACCCTACGGATACCTACCAACTGTCGTGCCATCCACCTCCCCTCCTCGCCACTACTTTGCTCTACCTCAACTTCAGCCTCGTCATACATTTTGACATTTCCACCGATAGCAGCCAGACAGACGACCTCTCCTTGCCTTCTGTCACCGAATGACTTTGCGCATGCTGGTCCCCTGTGCAGTTTGCCGCTGAGCCACTGCCGGCTGCCGGTCGATACCTCTTCACCCTATCCAACGTCGACAACTCTTTCTGGCGCCACTATCGCCAGACTCGATTACCCCCTCGGCTGCCGCGCCGTGCGCCGAACCCTCCGCCACTTCTAGATACCATACACACGACGCAGAGCCTCGACCTCTGGCCCCTTTCTTTTTGCCTTTCACTCAGTAACGACCCGATACGATATCCAACCATGCGTACTCCTAGAATAGCCATTCTCGTTCTCTTCTTCGCCGCTTCGCTCTTCCTCTTCTGCCGGTCCATTTCCTCACTGGCTCGTTCTTCCTCCGCTTCCTCCTCCTCTCCCGTCATCGCCGCCCCAGTCGCCGTACCGCGATCACGATTCACCAGTTTCTTCTCCTTCACAGCGCCCTTTTCCATTTTCCAGCCGAATGCCGCCATCAGTCTGACCGATGACAACAGCACTTCCTTTGTCGCTCGCCCTGCTGCATTTGGCCCCAACCTGCCCAATAAAGGCTTGAGCGGTCAGCTATGGATCGGCAGTGGTTTCGCCGACGATAATCTCCAGGAGGGCGAGGACGAGGGTGAGTTGGGATGCAGTGACATCCCCGGTTGGGACGATGGCAAGGCCAACGCCGTCCTCAAGACTGCCACCAAGGGCATGTCCAAGTCCTCCAACAAGGCTGCTGCTGCTGCCGGCAAGCCTGGTCACCACAAGCGCGACAAGACCGACAAGGACGCCGTGCCCGACGCCGTGGGTGTCCCCGTCACCCGCCTCAGGTCCAAGATTCGCCCAGCCGACGACGGCACCGACGACTACCTCCACCAAGGCCTCGCCCGGAAGCCCCAGCCCAACCACGATAGCGCCCTGTCCACCGAGTCGACCCATGCCGATATCCAATCGATACAAGAGGCTGCGGAGATCGCCGGGAAGATCGTGCTGCTCAGTCGCGGTGGCTGCGGTTTCTTGGAAAAGGTCAAGTGGGCGCAGCGACGTGGTGCCATGGCCCTCATTGTGGGCGATAACACAAAGGGGGGTCCCTTGATCCAGATGTTTGCGAGGGGCGATACCTCCAACGTATCCATTCCCTCCGTCTTCACCACCCGGACCACGGCGCACTTGCTGTCGTCGCTGACGCAACCGGGCAGCTTCATCGAAGACACTCTCGACGAGCACGGCCGCCCGGCCCTCAAGGTGCTGCAATCCGACGCAGGGAGCCGGAAGAACAGGAAGAACAAACCGAAGGTTGCGGCGACGACGCCGATGCCGACCCCCAAGGCCACGGCAACGCCCAAGGCCAAGGCTGCCGCAAAGGGAAAGCCGGCCAAGGCCGAGCACAAGGCAGCCAAGCCCCGCACCAGCCTGTTCCGATGGCTTTTTAGCTGGGGCCGCAGTTCACGATCCGGCGACAGCATCCAGCCCCCGAGCAGCGGTCGCCATAACTGGGTGCTCGTTGACGACTGGAGCGAGGAGAAGGACAGGGTCATCCGAGACGGTCTCGGCAAGGCCGCCAAGAGGGGCAAAGGCAAGGTTCCCGACGCTCGCAAGAGCGAAGACACGTTCCAAATCGGTGTCCAGGACTGGCGGGATCCCGACTTGGTGGATGCCCCCAGCTCCAAAGACAAGACCGAGGGCGCAGCCAAGGAGCAGCAGGTCGGCAAGCCCGGCAGCACCGCAAAAAGTGGCAAGGACGTCACCGGCCCCAAGGGCGGAAGCATCACTCCCGGAAGCGGCGAGTACAACCCCGATTTGCCGCCCGTTGAGACCGAGGGATCCACCTCCGGAAAGGAGACCACAGCCCACGGAGGTATCATGTCCAAGATTTTTGGAGAAGACGATGGCGCCGACTTCTCCAAGGAGGACAAGCCTAAGGATCCCCCACGCCCCGAGGAGCCCATTCCCGACGATGGCGATAACGACAACGGCAACGAGCCTATTGGCCACGATGGTCTCTGGGTTACGATTACGCCTTCAAGCAGCTCCAGCCCCTTCTTCGATACTCTGCTGGTGCTTGTCATCAGCCCTCTGATCACTCTGAGCGTCGTCTATGCCTTGCTGATCCTCCGCGCGCGCATTCGTAGAAGACGCTGGAGGGCACCCAAGTCGGTCGTCGAGCGTTTGCCTGTTCGCACATATCACACCGTCGCGGCGTCACCTGTTCCCTCGCCAAGAATCCCGTCACCGACGAGCCCAACACCCACTACGCCTTTGCTACAGCAGACGCCCTCCCGACCACGGCCTCGTTCTAGAACGACGACGGGCATCCCTGAGTCGGAGAGTTTGCTGTCTGTCAACTCGGCACTGCAAATGCCCAGGTCGCCACTGCGGACAGAGCACGAGAAGGCAAATGGCAGCTACTCGAGTGAGTGGAAGAAGTACATGGGCAGACAGGTCGAATGCGTGGTTTGTTTGGAGGAGTACGTTGAAGGCGTCAGCCGCGTCATGAGCTTGCCCTGTGGCCACGAATTCCACGCAGAGTGCATGTGAGTCTATGCCACCCCCCCCCCCTCTTTGTTTATGTTTATAGTACTGACATTCCCAGCACGCCTTGGCTGACGACGCGCCGCCGCACATGCCCCATCTGCAAGGGTGACGTTGTCCGCTCTCTTGCACGCGGCTCTCCCTCTAGCCCCCGCTATGAACCGTATCACGACGACTCTGACGACGAGGTGGAAGCTGAGGCGTCCGGTTCGCGAGACAGAGACGAGGACGTGGAGCAGGGTGGAATCCTCTCGCCCGCGCCCAGGGGACGCCAGACCCGGCCCGACGGATGGTTGGGGATGTTATCTGGTAGCTTTGGAGCGTCGTCCCGCGCCAGTCGATCGTCGCAGGATGATCGTAACCGGTGAAGTCGGTTCGCTCATCTACTGAGGATGTCGCATCACCTCTCAATGTTCGCATTTTGTTTTTTCTGATTTTTACGTTTGGCACCGTTGGAGGTTGCTTTTTCTTTCAGGCATGGACTGGGAAGCACTAGTCCCACGGGAAACGGGACACATGGCGTAATTAGGGGTTTCTTAGGGGAGAGAAGGGCTTTCTCTTGGGCACATTGGCAAAGGGTTTTGTTTTTTGGGGGCAGCATGGCCGAGAGGTGAAGAAAGAAACCAAGACTCGAAATGGCCCGGGAGAGAAATGGGAGGGACCTCACTACACTCGTTTCGATTGTTGTCCTGGACGTAAGGTTTTTTGCTTTCTGCGGATGGTTGTGGTCCTTCAGGCCTGAAGGATATACGACTGAAGTGAAGAGAGTGGCTGTGGCTGTGGTGTGGCGTGAGGTGGCCGATATACCCGTCGTCTCGTCCCCAACTGGCGATCGGGGGGCGGACGCGTTCTTGGAATAATGAATTCCATTGACTATGACACTTTAATTTGTAACCTGGTGACTGACTACGGTGTGATGAGTGAGGTATCATGGGTGAGTATAGCAGATGTATTACATGCGAAGAAACAATGAAGTGAAGTGAAGTATTGGTATCATGGTGTGTGGTATCTAGGCTATTTTAAGGAAAGATGGAATTTATGTTTGGGGTATCTTATATCCTATGTACGCCTGGCCATGTCCGCGGGTTGAAGCCTTGTTTCTGTTTCTGTGCGAGTTGTATCGAGGAGCTTGCCTCTTCGTAGTTGAATGAGCTCCCCCGCTACCGTTCCTATTCCTGTCGGGTGAAGAGCATAGGCAACAATGTGGATTACTTCTTTGGGGAAGGGAGGGTGGCAGTAGATCGGTAGTAGAGATTTTCAGGACGGTATGATGTTGTAATCGGGGTGAGAAGGTTGGTACAGATGGGTACTTGTACCAGTTTAAGCCAGAGGTGAGATTATGCTCTCCCTCTATCTGCCGTTATGGTGGGAGAGGCCGAGTGGATGAAAGGTTCAGATGTCGTTGTAGAAGATCATGCGGGGCATATCGCGCTCGGCGACGGCGTGGAGGTATGCGGAGCCTGGGTTGGGTGCCGTTGTTACGGAGCCTGCTGTTGGTGGTGTCGTTGGTGTTGAGGAGGAGGAGGGGGATGGTGTTGATGTGTTTTGGGATGTGGTTGTGGTGTTGGTGTATGTGGGCGGGGAGAGGGGTTGGTTTGGTGAGGGGGGTTGTTGAGTTAGAAGGTGGGCTCTTTTGGGGCCTTCTGGGAAGGTTCTGGGAGATGTTAGTTAGGTGGATGAGATTGGGGTGGTGTTTGACATGGGTGTGATGAGAGGAAGATTAGAGGTGAGGCTTGGATACGTGTATGATAGGGTCAGGGTTGCGAGATATAGGAGAAGGTTAAAGACAGGGGTGGATAGGCGAGGAAGACTCGTGATTATGAGGGCAGGTTGTTTGAAGAAGATGTCAACGGTATGATGGAATGATATCACACACTGACACTCGTGTCTGCTCCATCAAAGAATAGGGGGCTGAAAGGCCCATGTCCACTTCTCACATTCATATGACACAGATTAAAATAAAGAGCAACTTACAACGCGGTACTCAACGACCCGTAAAACAGATTCACCTCCTCAGTCGGTCCCTCAGGATCAACCGCCCTAGCCCAGAGAAACTCGCGGGCCTTGTCAACTGCGGCGTCGATGCGATCGTGGAGGCTAGGGAAGAAGGGGCGTAGGGAAAGGAGGGAGATGACGAGGCCTTGCGGGCCGGAGGCGAAGCCGCGGGATCGTGGTTGTGATGCTGATGCCGCCGCTGTTTCTGAGGGCTCTTGTTGTGCTGGTGTTGGCGGTGCGTCTAAGGATTGTTGTACATCGCTTCGAGGAGGTTGTGAAGGTGAGGTGGGTGATGGTCCCGGCCAGTCGCCGTTGGGAGACTGGAGGTCTAGGAGGGCTGCGAGGCGGGATATCAGGGACGGAGAGGCGGCGAGGGGAGGGGATGTGAGAACGAGTTGGGTTATTATGCCTAGGTCGCCGTGAGTTGTGCCGTAGGTGTCTTCTGGTGGCGGCGGTGGTGATGAATGAGGTGGCTGTGACGACGATGGTAATCGTGAGGGACATGTCCAGGGATGTGGGCCGAGAAGGTACTCTGACACGTGGACTATCGCACCGCAGACGAGGGGCGCGGAGGAGGGGACCCAGTGGCGGATTAGGCGGAGTAGGTAGAGTGTCCCTGCGAGGCCGTGGAGGAGACAGCTTGGCAGGGGTGGTGTTGTCGTTGTTGTCGGTTCTGGGGCGTCTAGGTCCATTGCTGTGGAGGAGTTTGTCGTCGGTGCTGAGGCGGACGAGGAGTTGGCGTTTGCGTTGGAGGAGATGATGTATTCCAATACGGGAGAGAGGATGGCGAGAAACTTGCGGACGTGGAGGAGGTCTTTCGTCACGCAGGCGCGGATGGAGGGGCCGGCTAGATCATCGGAGAGGAGGCCTAGGAAGGGCGTGTCTCGTGCTGTCTCTTGTGTACTAGACGGCAGAGATATCGGGGCGGACGGGGTCGGGATATTGGAGATGTAGGCGCGGGCCCAGTGGATGGCCGGGTAGGAGTGGATCTGGAGGCGGGGGTGGTGTGCCGAGACGGAGAGGAAGAGGTAGGCTGTGCCGGTGTGTGATGTCGGGAGACCGGTAAGGGTTGCGGGCGGGTGGGTTGATTGGGGCGGGGAGAGGGAGAGGGTTTTGGAGAGGTGGGTTAGGATTTTGGTTGTTTTGGTCGAGGGGTCGTCCATTGTTTTGTTTTTTGGAGTTCAGAGGTATTGGGATGAGTTGACTTATGTTGAATGAGATGAGGTATTGGTGAGTGAGATGTGTGAGTAAGTGGGTGAGTGAGATGTGATGTGTAAGACAAGTGAGATGAGGTTGCGCGACTCTCGCGGAGCTTGGGTACGGCGAGGTGCCTTACTTTCAGCTGTGGTCGTGTGAGGTCGGTGTAAGGCGGCGGTGACCGTTCCGGGTGCGGGGGGCAGGAATGCGGGGTTGGAGGCGGTGGGAGTCGCATGCCGCACCCAGGGTGCCAGGCACTAACACTCAGGGGCTCCCGGGGGAGGTTGGGGGAGCTGCGGGGGTTCGGATCGTCGTGGCGGGGACACGCGCGGGCTTGGCCCTGGGGTTCGGGGCGTTGAAGTGGGGCTCTGCTCCGTGGATGAAGAAGGGTGGCTGTTAGGTACTGTTTATCACCGTGGGCAAGGCCAGCCATGTTTTGTGATTGCCATTCGGGTGATAATTGATCCTCGGATGGGCTGTATAAGTACGAGGCCGATGGGTAAATGGTGCGTCTTTCTGGGTATTTTGGTAGAGAGATTCTGAGTGCTTGATTCCAGACTTGGGACTTCATCGTCATCGTTGTTGTGAGTATAGATGATGCTGGACCTTTGATGAAATCTATGAGTACGAAGGAGTGTTTTTCTCTTAGTATTTACTGGAAGGTTTTGAATCAATTATAAGGCTTTTACTGTACTTGACCTTCATTGTGAGTTTAGTCGCCTTGGAATGAGACGGCGTCGAGCATATGAACATGAACTGCTGAAACTCTGCTGCTTAAAAAGCAATCATGAATTTGTATTGCATTGGCATGATTTTTACATTTCGGCATCTAAGTATAAGTAGCCTACCGTACGCTCTCTTACATGAATGTACATAGTTTTGGCTTTTGGTTTGTCTATGACTTCCCCTCACTCGCTGGTTTATATTCGACAGGAACCATATTAGCGTCAGGAGGTAGTCACAGAATATTATATCGTCTGTGAGTGTGCAGCTTCAGTACAGTCTCATAATTTTTCAAGCATTTCGTCTCGGAAGGAAAATTTGAGATGTCGTTGCGTGGTTAGAAGATGGTTGATGAGTGAAGGTGTAAAGAATCACAGAGCCGTCCACAATAAGACGCACTACACGCTAGGCCTTCAATGAGTCTCGTAGGTAAAATCCCACACATCAAGATGCCAGTAGCGACGGAGGCATCCTTCAACAGCTCTTGATTATCAAATCGCAAGACGACTTGCTAGGTCGAGATTCGCGAGCTGCATGTCTCACATGAATTCATCTGAATACAGCATGCGGGGTTACACTTCTTCGGGAGACGTCGGCCGAGGCGTCCGCCACCACCACCATGGCTTCGAACACACGACATAAGAGTCAATCTCACCTCTTTGAACCTCAACTCATACAGCTCAAACCTCTCACATCATCACATAGAAAGCCCTCTTAAGTCGTAACACGAACTCACCTCAACCCGCAAACATGTCCGACCCGCTCCCAAAACTAATCACCCTAGAAGAACACTTCGTCGCAAAAGACCTCTTCACAGAACTCTCCGACATATACTCAGAACAACTCAAACACCTCCCCGAGGTCTCATCCCGCCTCCAAGACGTCGGGCCCCTCCGCCTCGCCAACATGGATGAAACCCGCATCGGCCTGCAAATCGTATCCCACGCGCCCGGCCTCGGCCCCCGCGCTCCGCACCTAAGCCGCCTCGCAAACGACCACCTCGCCGCCGCCGTCCGCGCCAACGCCACCCGCTTCGCAGGGTTCGCCGTGCTACCGATGGCCAAACCGGACGCCGCGGCGACGGAACTGCGGCGCTGTGTCCGGGAGCTGGGGTTCGTTGGCGCGTTGGTGGACGCGCATGTCGACGGACAACACTACGATGACAGACGCTTCTGGCCCGTCTTCAAAGCGGCGGCGGAGCTCGACGTGCCGGTGTACTTACACCCTACCTACCCCTCCGAGAGCCAGCGGCCCGCGTACGAGGGGAATTTTGACCCCGGCGCGGCGCGGAGTATGGGATCCAGCGGGTTCGGGTGGCACTCTGAAACGGGACTCGCCGTGCTCAAGCTCTTCGCCGCGGGACTCTTCGACGAATACCCTTCCCTGAAAATCATCATTGGGCATTTCGGAGAGATGTTACCCTTCATGATGGAGCGCGTGGAAAAGCTCTCGGTTCGGTGGGGTCCGCGGCGGCGCCGCTGGCGTGCGTGTTGAGGAACACGCCCGTGGAACATATTTTGTATAGCGTCGATTACCCGTTTGAAAAGAATGAGAACGGGCTCGCGTGGATGAGGGAGTTGAGAGATAGTGGGATGGTGACGGGGGAGCAGCTTGAGATGATTGCGTTCCGGAATGCTGAGAGGTTGCTGAGGGTTGAGGCGCCGTGATGGTGCGCGGGCGGGAGTGTACTGCTGTGTAAGTGGGTGACTGGGAAGTGGTCTCGAGGGGAGATCGAGTCTAGTTTCGTTCTGGGACACACAACACCACCGGTCCACACACTTGGTTCGACTTTGAGGAAATCAAAAGATCCCGTTTCCCTCTCCATCCATCACGATCGCGAGTCGTGACTGGCCAAGACCCTCCCATCTCCACGGCCCCGTTCCCCTCCCACAATTATCGTTTCTCCCCTTCCGCCCCGCCCACGATGCCCTCTCTCGCTTCTTGGTACCACCCACCGCGGTCATCTGTACACAAGATCGTCTCTATGGCTCAGTCGGTAGAGCGTTGGTCTCATATCAAATACATATGACGCCGGGAAACACTCCGGGGGTTATCCAAAGGTCGCAAGTTCGAGCCTTGCTAGGGACATTAGATTTTGCTGATTGTGAAAACGGTAAACTTTTTGGCAAGAGCATGTTCTGGCAGAGCGTATGCGAATGCCCACACAGCCTGGGTCACTTCTCCTGGTATCTGAACGAATAGTGTCACGGGAGCTATATTGTTACATCAAATTAGCCTTAAGAACACATCCGCAATTCGCTCTCTCGTTGACAGAGTTGGTGCAACGAGTCGTCAGTTTGATAATGTTGAACGAATTTCGCAAGTCTGTCTGTCAACTTAGTTCTGAACCTCAAAAGACAACTCCCCAAGAACATGGACAGGCCTCGAAGTAGGTTTCGCAACCGACAATCTTGCCATGATATGATCCTACATACGTACATTGAGCAAGAACATACCACTTCATGCACTCATTAACATCACTAATCATCCCTTCACCTGGTCATTCTAATCTTTCCACTTTGCAAACGCGTGTGTTTGTGAAGTGGGTCACCCTCCCACCCCGCACCACACAACACCTCACCCCAAAAAAGCCACCAAAACCGAAAATCCACATCCCACGATTTCATCTCCTTCGACGAGGCGCATGTATCACCACGACAAACAAAAGAATTGCGTCGAGGGGGAATCGAACCCCCGGCTCCCCGACGCTGCAGGATGGCAACGGAGAATTTTACCACTAAACCATCGACGCTTCACAGGATGAACTCGTGATTTGAGATGCGGGTTACAGCTGGGAGTGAGATTATGATTGTAGTGGGTGGAGTGAGGTTTAGGGCTGGAGACTGGAGTTGGCGTTGTGTAATCTAGGAATTGGGGCCGATTCTGGGTCCGGGGGTCCGTGTTCGGCCGAGATGAGGATGTTCCCCGACGGCGGGTTGACTTGTGAGGCTGGGAAGTTCTAGGCACTGATGTCTTTGCGATCGTGGGTTCTGGGTAAATTGGAGGCTCTTGGAAACTATTGAGTTTGCTTATTTTGAGGGCAACAGTGAATGTACTTCATCCACTTAGTCAGGGTCAGCTGCGTCTTTACTACCGGTGGAATTCAACCTTTAAAATGCTGGACAAACAGTCTTATATTCGATATCCCATCTCATTGTAAATTAGGAAAGGTATAGTCTACTCTAAGATGCCTTCACTGCTGTCTTCATCTTTTGAGAACGCGTTCGACGATTTCTTGTCTCGGTCTGATTATCGTTATGGTTTCCAAAATTCGAATGTTTGCTAGACTTCTACTCGATAGGAGGCGAGACTTGAAGATCAATCTACCCGCACCATCCCTCGCTCCGGAAATCGCCAGGCTTGAAGAGAAACATGTGCCGAGCATTGAGCTTTGTGACAGAAGGCGGGTACCTGGAATCTGACATATGCCAGCATCAATTCAATTCGGATTTTCTTTTCGTAGAAAAGAATGAGACTGACTTAGAGGCAACAAGTGAATGATCGACTTTGACCACGACGAGCTGTACTCTCGATGCTCTTAGTAAGACGATCAGAGAGTTGAGCTACGTGTACGATGATCTCAATCATCTATCTGCAATAACGCGTCTTGGGTAGTAAAAAGCCGTAAGTACCCTCAACTTTCATAGCCGTCCATAAGCTGACGAGTGGGTGATCAAATAGGTTGCCGATCAACACACCACTAGCCGCCTTCTTAGAGCCACTATAGCTGTTGTCATTACTATATGCTTTTTAAAGCGTACCTTGTGAGGGACGAATGAGAAATACGTAGTGGTGAATAGGAATAGCAGTTTTAGAGCAAAGGCATTGAGCGGCAAACTATCGTGTCACCCATCCTCTCACACATCATCACGACACCATATCCGGGATGGCCACGTACATCTCCAAGTCACAAAAGATCTGTTCAAATAGAAGCACCTACAGATAACGCAAGCCACCTAGTTTTCCACGTCAGCTTCTAGCGGAACACTCCTCACACTATTCACCCCACCAAGCCCACGACAGCTCCAAATCAACAAACCTTACCTTCCATACTCTGCCCCATACTCGAAAGGAGAATGAAAATAGAAGCGCGAGCTTCGCGGTATACTCCCCACAGCGTAGACCTTATCCTCATCTCATCCAAAAGACGCTGGCACCAGTACGTGTTCCCTACTTCTGTAGGAGGATGCCATCGTAGCTGTAATGAGTTTGATGAAAGAAAGACTAAAACAAAATTGAAGAAAGAAAAACATGGAAACATTTCAATCTTCTCCGCGTTGCATGCTCACAAGATAACGTAGCTTCATAAGTGACGTGATGGGAAACTCAAGTCTGAGAATACTCGGTGAGGTATCTCAAGAGAATCGTATACACTTCTTACCTTTCACTCGCAAAAGACACCTCCAGGCCACTCGCACTCCCAAAGATTCTGTAAAGGAGCACAACAATAGGCCACGGCGAATACTGAGCATGCAATGCAACCACGGGAGCATTCGAATCGTCTACAGGCCCATGCAGAACAGAACGCCATGATTCGCCGATCAAAACCCCGCTAGATGCGGGCAGACAGCCGACGTCCGCTCCGCACTCAGAGGCCAGCGGCGCACGCGACAAGCGCACCTCTGACCTTTCACCTCTCTCGGTCAGCGCCGTCGGGCCAGATTAATAAACCATGTCACGGCGGAAGCAACGCAAGTAACGCACGCTACCCGCGGCATATTGCCGATAATTAGGAACCAGAGCCGTGAGGGGCGGATAACCACACAGAATACGGACCGCAATCAGAGATACGAAGACAAACCCCCCATCAAGGCTGGAACAGGCAATCCCGTGCGGTTTCGTGGGGGTGGGTGTTGAGTTTGTGATTCCATTAGAGTCGAGACCGAAAACCCGGGTTGACTGGGGTCGGAGAGGTGTCAGGGATGGGGGTAGTTCGAAGGAACTCTACTGGCTGGGTTAATTCGAGCATCCCGTTCCAGACTTGGAAACCTTGACAGCCCATCCGCCGTTGCTCCTGCGGCTTGCAACTACACTTATTCTAGGTTGGAGGGCTGACTAGATGTAGGACTCGCAAAGTTGAGTGAGGTGAGTGAGACGCGCCCGGAGACGCTCAGATCATCGTCAACTTCAGACGGTGCGGCACCGTGGAGCACCTGACGCGGGGCCCCGGTACTGAAGGTCTGCTGCGACTGCTGCAAGCTTGCTGGACCGGGGAGGAGGAATGAACACCTTTGAGTCGGGCTGACGAAGGTATAAGAAGCTTGTCGGGCCTGCCATGCATCTCCCGCGCGGACGAACCGGACATGTCACGATCTCCACGATTTGCGGCCCAACAGATTGCTGCAGTTGACTAATCCGCGTCCCAACCGTACGACGTATTGCCGCATTGTCTACCAGACATCGCACCATAGACGAGATTTGGCCGACGGATGAAGCGGAACAGACCAAGACACTGCCGGCGCCAGTATTTAAGAGAGTGTCCCCCTCCGTGATCCCCTCCTCTTACGTCGCTCAGCGGCCTCTTTACGCATCACAGTCGCAACAACGGCTCTCCAACAGATAGGTGTGCATCATTTATGTGTGTGTAGCGATTGTTTGCCCAGCCGTTCTCCCCGCGCTGCAGAATTACTTGGGTGTGTGCGTGTGAGTGCTGTGTATCGACGCAGTGTTTGTTGGTGTGGACGAGTAGCCGTGGTGCCCCCCTCCCCAAATCCCCGCATTCTGTTTACCCCTCGCGCCCCGCCTCGCGACATTCTTCCCCCGACTTGGCCGAGTTCCGTCGTTTTCTCCGCCGGCCGTCGACTCTCGAGTCCAAGGTCACACCCCCGCTGATCGATCGGCTCTAAGCAGACGCTCCAGCTTCGCCAGGCCGACGGCCGAGTCCGCGGGACACACTTGGGTCAGCCCTCCGCCGAGCACATTTTGCGAGCAAAAACTTCACCACCTCCGCCATCGACGACGAACCTTTCAAACGCGTCCAACGAGCATCATGTGGTCCAACAAGCGTTCTTCCCCCCCCGCGCCCGGTAGCCCAACCGAGGTGGAGGCTCCTGCGCCCGTATCCTCCAGACAGAAGAACCCCGGTCGTCGCATTGCCCAGATTGTGAAGCTCAAGCCCGAGTTCATCGACAAGTACAAGGAGGTCCACGCCAACGTCTGGCCCGAGGTGCTCAAGCAGATCAAGGAGTGCAACATTGTCGACTGTAGGTCATCCGCCGGTGTCGGCCCCAACACGGCAGACTGCGAATCCCGATGTCGGGTGACTTTTCAAAGCTGACTTTCAACAGACAGCATTTGGCACGAGCCCGATTCACGTATTCTGTTTGCGACCATGAAGTACGTCGGGTACGACTTTGCCGGAGACATGGAGAAGATGAAGGAGAACCCCAAGGTCCGCGAATGGTGGGCCATGACCGACGGCTGGCAAGAGTCTCTGGTTCCCGGCGCGGTGAGCAGTGAAGCAGGCGAGCCGGCGTGGTGGAAGCCCGTCGAGGAGGTGTTCTACACGCCTTGAGAAAGAGAGAGAGAGAAGTTTGGTGGGATGAGGGGATCGAGTGTATTGCATTATTAGTCAACGACCAGCCGAATGATGAGCGTTTCGTTTTGATCACGTTCGGTGCCCTTGTCTGCCTCGTGCTGCCAGATGCACCAGACACATGGTTTTGCTGGAAGTATGCCCGATTGGTGACCCAGCCGAGCGTCCGTCTTGATCATTTGAAACCACCAAACAATCCTCCAAAGACGCCGCCGGATCCTCCGCCTCCTCCGCGCTGGCCGTGCCGCCGAGCCTCAGACCTGATCCACTCTTCGAGGAAAGCGCGGTCTGTCAGCTTCTTGGCGTCGTGAACCTTGGTCTGTATCTGGGCCTCTTGGTTGTCGAAGCTTAGCAGAGTCGGGATAGAGGTGATCATGTAGGTCATGCCTAGTCCTCCGCTCATGACGTCGGGAGAGTCGAATTCGACGGTGCAATAGCCAACGCCGCCCTCTGCTTCACCGACACCAGACTCTACGATGGACTGTATTAGAGGGGCAACGACTCGACATGTCCCGCACCAAGACGTGGTCCACAGTGTTATCAGTGGTGTGCGAGAAGAGGAAGAGAGGAGTTGATAGGTGTGGAAGTCGTCAGGACGGCGAACACTGGCACCCGAAGCAGAGGTTAGCGGACGGGTGCTTTCGAGAGGAGAGGCCAGGGCAAGGATTGGACAGAGAGGTTGGAGAATCTGCGGTGGCCCACTTACGATGCGTAGATCTGGTTTTTGGCCGGGCTGGTACGAGACGTGGAGAAGTGGGCAGCGGCGGCAGAGATGGAATGCTTGGGGGGCGGAATACGGACGCCATTGGTGAGGTTACTGTTGCAGCCCCGGAAAGTGGTGCGGGCGGTATGTCTTAGCAGTTGCATGGTGATTTTACTGCAGGATATGGTATGGTGAATGTCGATTATCTTGTCTGGTCTGTTCAGATGCCAAGGATGTATGCAGCGTGCTGCCGACTGACGTCGTTGAAGATGATCCCGTGATGTGTCGTGATGCGAGTCGCACCGCTGAGATGCGACAGAATTCTTGGACAAGAACGAGTGGAGGGCTGCAGGTGGCAGTTGCGGGAGTACCTGTGATATGGAGCAAGCTAACAAAGATATCTTTGGAGCCAATGGTTCGATATAGCACAGGGTGGTGGTAGTGGATGGATGGTTATGTAGCGTCAACGGTTTTCCGAGCAGCTGGACAGCTTAGTCGAGATTTTAGGTAGGTAGGTAGTATTACTTAAGGCTGGTAGCTGTTGTTGTCAATGACGGGAAACTCCGACGTTCATCTGGAGGTTCGGTCGCAATCGAAATCAACAGGAGGTGCACCTTCCTTCCTGGCAGACGGCGCTGTCACGCTCAAACCACGGTAGGCTCCATTGGGGAAGGCGGTGTAGGAATATATGGGGTCAGACCTTGTCACGCATGCGGCACGATGACGTTGAGGCTGCATGACATAAGCAAGATTCTGCAGGGCTCTACCTCAGGCTTCAGCGAAGCACAGGGCAGGCACGGGCAGGGAAGGAGTCGAGGACACCAACGGCAATTGCGGTAAGGTAAGGTAAGTGCAGGTGCATTCCGTTCTGGGCGCCCAGACATGGCGCCTGCTGTTTTTTGTTTTCAGCTTCGCACTCTGACTCTGCCCAGACTTGCCAGGTACGGAGTACTTTACACCGCAAGGTAAGGAAGGTACATCGTATTCTGTACTTCATGCTTGGCGAAGGAAGGTTCCCAATTAATTGCTCCTCGTCTTGTTTTCCGTCAACCACCACTCAGCCGCATTTTAATCGCGGCGCAAGACAACGACGAGACTCTACATCAGACACGCGCCCTTTACCCAACCTTTCTCTATGCGACGGGCAGGCCGCAGAAAAACACACGAGCCCATCCCTCCATCACAAATCTCACCATGGGGTCGGTCTCACTTTTTGGAGGGGGGAACAAGAAAGCTCCCTTACTGCGTACATCCGAGCCCGAGGTCAGCAGAGACGAGCAAAACATGTAGATGGTGCCCATGATGGTGGTGGTGGTGGTCTGGCACTGCTCGGGTTGCTCCGAGACCCCAAGACATCAATTCATAACTTCTACTGCGTACGTACGCTACCTGCCCATTTACAAACTCTCAACTTTCGGTGACTTTCTGCATAGTAGATGAAGCTGAGGCCCATCCGCACTGTCGACAAGGTTACTGTGTAGAGCCGCCCGTTGCCCGCACAGCGATAGGTACATAATGGATCATGAAAGCTGGATTATTGGATATCCCTTGTTGATGGATCTGGTGTCACCGCCCTCGCCAGTCGCCACCATCTTGGACCGCTGATTCACATGGTCCAAGTGGAGAAGATGCGACCAGCACCTGAAGTCTCTCTGTCACCCACCCAGTCACCCACGGACTTGTGAGCAAGGGGTTTTAGCCTCGCTTTTAGGGGTCCTGCCATCCGGGGCACTACTTGGCTTTGTTGCAGACGCGTATTGGCTGTGGGCGGCATTTGGAGTTGGACATGTGGCCCTTTTTCCTCACCTCCTTTGTTCACCAAGGCTATCGCCAGTCTCCAAGTGCCTCCCAAGCGCCCCCCGCAGGCGCATCTGCTGCATATGGCCTGGTGCCCCCGTGCCAGTACTACAAGTATGTATGTACAAAGGTGGAAGTACGTACTCCGTATGGATACCTACAACCTGCAGGCTGCGGGCTGCCAGGACTGAGCAGAGACACCGCCGCCCTCGCCGCCAACGTCGTTTCCATCCTCGAATCCTTGATCCATCATCGCACTTTGCACGCACCCGCCAACGTCGAGTCACCTGCCAATCTGTCCAGGTTGGGTCGAGTCTATCCAGTGGATGAAGGGCCGTCTCGAGTCTCTCGACCCCTCCAGTTGCTCAAAAAATTCCCCACGGAACCCGCCCGACGCGACGCACCTGGCACCCACAAACAGAAAACCCCACCAGCTGATTCTGCGAGCCTGCAAGCTACTACGACTGTGTACGAATACGGTCCTATTGGTATATTGTTACGGATACCTTGCCATACCGCTGATGCTGTTTCTGCTGCTGCTGCTGCTGGGCATGAATTGCATCTCGTCTTCCTTGCCTCCTGTGCGCGGTGCTTGACTCGGTGGCCGGCCAATCCTGACAACCAAGCGCCGATATCTCATTTCCATCCCATGTTCCATTCCCCCAGACTTGCGGCTTGCGGCTTTGCCAGGGCACGATAACATTGCGTCCCTCTTCGCGCCAGGGCAACATAAAGCTCGAGGTTCATCCTTGATCTCATGGTCGCCTGCCCCTACGTGAGACGCAGCCCCCCCTCGCTCTCTTAATCACAGTCAAACGGCGCGTTACCAGTCTGACGCCATTATTCTGCACGGACCTGGATAGTTTCTCCTCTCTCCCACTGCGCAGTGCGCGCAGCCCATCATCTGCCATCGAGGTTGGCCTCGTTATTGACATCCAAACGCTATTTCCATCGACAGCTTCGTTGCGCCAACACCTTTTCTACCCCATATCTTCCGCCTCTCCCTCTTCTCCTCCTCCAACCAAGGTCTCTTCCTAGACTTGTTGCTTTTCACCGTCTCCGCATACATCGCCTCGCACCGGCGCAGGGCTTTCCAGAAGAATTTGTGTTTCTTCCCAAAGCGCATAGTCGTACTGCCTCGGCATCTTCCTTCATCCGGCTCTTGGACATCTGCAACCTTATCTCATCTTCTTTGGATGCACGGTCGAACCAGACAGACTACCTTATGCTCGACCGATCTTAGGACAAATTTTCTGTCGACCCCGCGTGCCCAACGACACCCTCCTTTCACCTCATCCTTCTGCTCGTCCATTTTTGTTTTGGTTTTTCTCCCTTACCCAACAACAACAAAATCCGCATAGCTTGCCGTTGTAGTAGACCAAAGCGACAGCAAACAGAGTTCCTTGGCCCTGCCCCGCCAAACCTGGCTGGGAAGACATCCTGTGGAACGCTTCAAAATGGCGGGCGTCCTCACGTGGAAGAGTCGCTTCGGTGGCATCTTTGGGAACAAAACTAAATCCGACAGTGCCGAAGCCACAGATGACGAGAATACCAATATTCCGAAATGGAGTATGGGTGTTCTCAACGATGCCAAAACGATTGAAGTCCCTGGTAAGCAATCAACCAACCCCCTTTCCGGTTTCCGGCCCATACCAAGGCCACCAAGTTGACACCCTGCAGGTTCTGTGCTTCTCCTCGCTGCGCATCGCAACGAGCCACTCGGCTTACGCAACGCGCCCGCAAGGACTTCCCACTCATCCATCCCCACTGGTTTCCCGGAGCCGGTAGACACACCGACCGGCCGCCAATCTCCAGCCAACGCGGCCCCACCTGAGCCCGATGCAAAGACGACCAAGGACGGAATCATCCTCAACCCTCAGCCTGAAGAGTCTGCAAATGACCCTCTCAACTGGCCTTCATGGCGGCGCGATTGCGCTCTTCTGTCTCTTGGTTTCTACTGCATGGTCGGTGGTGGCATGACTCCCTTGCTTGCCGCTGGCTTCACCAATGTCGCCGAAGACTACCACATTGAGACCGAGACAGTCTCCCTAACTACTGGTCTGTACATGATGGGCATGGGTCTCGGTTCCGTCATCTTTTCTCCCACGGCTATTCTGTACGGAAAGAGGCCCGTCTACCTCTTCAGCTCCATCATCTTCATCCTCAGCTCTGTATGGGCAGCCCTGTCACCAAACTTCACCTCTCTCATCTTGGCTAGAATCTTTCAGGGTATTGCAGTCAGTCCCGTGGAGTGTCTTCCCTCCGCCACCATTGCAGAAATTTTCTTCCTTCATGAGAGAGCGTTCCGAATCGGCATCTATACACTCCTGCTGCTTGGCGGCAAGAACCTCATCCCCCTCGTCAGTGCCCTCATCATCCAAGGTCTTGGATGGCGTTGGACTTTCTGGTAAGCAGCCAACACGTTCGGCTATTACAAGACTGCATTGCTAATATTTCGACAGGATTGTTGCCATGATTGTTGCCTTTTGTGGCGTACTCCTTTTCTTGTTCGTGCCAGAGACCTTCTGGGACCGAACACCGCTCCCCAAGTCACGAAAGCCGTCCCGCAGACCGAGCTTTACTCGCCGATTCTCATCACGCCATCACGTTCCCCAGGTCCATAACGCTCATGAAGATGCCGTTGTAGCTCCCACAAGTCCTACGCCACAGTCGCCACACGGTGCTTCGCATCCGCACAAGGACCTTCACGTTGGATTTGCGCTGGACCCAAACGAGAAAAAGGATGACGGCATCGACAAGCAGGTGAAGGACGCCAAGGATGAGACGCCGGACTCTTCCAACCCGGTGCCCGTCTCGCGGACGTCTGGCGCGTCCGGCACACCCACCTCCGGATCGGATTATTTCCACAACGCCCCAGCTGTCGAAAGCGAAAAGTTCAAGATGCAAGCTTCCGACGTCAACTCGCCGCCCAAGGCCCTAGCCTACACCCACACCCTCCGCCACCAGCCCGCGAAATCCTTCACCGAGCAGCTCAAGCCCTGGAACGGCCGCCTGAACCACGACAGCTGGTTCAAGGTCATGCTCCGGCCCTTTGTCCTCTTCGCCTACCCCGCCGTGCTGTGGTCCGCCGCGGTCTACTCCCTCTCCGTCGGCTGGCTCATTGTCGTCTCCGAGTCGGTCGCCTTGATCTACCGCAACCGCGCGTCGTACAACTTTGACGCCCTGCAGACGGGTCTCGTCTACCTCTCCCCCTTTGTCGGAGGCATCCTCGGCACCGCCGTCGCGGGGAAAGTGAGCGACATCATCGTCAAGGCCATGGCCCGCCGCAACGGCGGCCTCTACGAGCCAGAGTTCCGCCTCGTCATGGCGGCGCCGGTGCTCGTGACCACCGTCATCGGCCTCATGGGCTTCGGCTGGTCCGCGCAGGAGCGCGACCACTGGATCGTGCCGACCATCTTTTTCGGCCTCATCTCGTTTGGCTGCACGCTGGGGTCCACAACGTCCATTACCTTTTGCGTCGACAGCTACCGGCAGTACGCGGGCGAGGCGCTCGTCACGCTCAACTTTAGCAAGAACATCTTCCACGGACTCGTGTTTAGTCTGTTTGTCACGCACTGGCTTACCTCGGACGGACCCAAGATGGTGTTTATCTGGCTGGGCGTCATTCAGCTCATTTTCCTGTTTGCCACGGTTCCCATGTTCATCTACGGGAAGCGGGCGCGTATGTGGACCGTGAGGAAGAACTTTATGGAGAAGTTCTAGAGGAGCATTGTCCTTTGTCTTTTTTTTTTTTCCCTCTTTCTCCCTCGTATTTTTCTGCATGGAGTTGGAGTTTAGGGGATCTACATTTGCATTTGCATCACAGCATCTTACAAGTTTTATCCACCACTGGATGAGGTCTCCCAACGAGTCGGGTAGCATATTTTACGTGGGAATGAGGCCCGGGTATGCATTTATTGGATGGATTGGATTTTGACGACTTTTGCATTTTCCCCCTTCCACTTTGAAACCGGGGCTTTCTGCATGGCCCCTTTTTATGACAACATTTGTTCTCATGATACCTTTAGAGTTTATATGAACTAGAACAAGATCCAGAAGGAAGAAATCAATCGAATCTAGATGAAACCATTGTCCTGAGGTTTTTGAAAGTTTAATGACACTCAAACGCTCGACCTCCTCCCTGTCCGACACAGTATCCTACATCCCAATTCTCACATTCAGGCGAGCGGTACGCAATGAATTAAGTGGGAACAGTCACGAGGCACCGCACGGAGAAGACCGCGTTTGGAAGAATGGATGGAAGAGCATAACTGACTTGTCTTTTCCACCCTTTCTTTGGGAAAGAATGATAGACGGTGTAGATCTACCGTGGAAGAAGCGAAAAAGAAAACCAAGCACTGCGAGAAGAAGCGAAAACGGACTGTCCAAACCCTATTCCGCTCCTCCTCCCTTTTTAAATCCAACAGAAGTCTGGTAAGCTAGCCGTCTTCACCACCTCGCCAAGGTACGCCGATATCCCATCAGCCGAAATCGATCACGACTCGCAAGTGAGTGAGTGAGAGAGAGAGAGAGAGAGAGGGAGAGACAGAGGGAGGGGGAGAGAGAGAGAGAGTCGAGCCTGATTCTCACCTCCCGCTCTGGGGCATTAGGACTGCGGCGGTTGCTGCTGCTGCTCGTCGTCGCTACCCGAGCCCGAGCCGGTGGCTTCCCGAACAATGAGCCCGCCAAGATACTGGTGAGAGGGGCTGTTGGCGATCTGGGACGTGGAGCTGGTTGACGTCGTTGAGGATTCTTGCTCCCCTCCTTCTCCTTCTTCCGCTGCGGCCTTGCGCGTGGGTGAGCCGGGGGAGATGTCCTGGGTGGTGCGGGCCTGGCGCGGGCGTGGGCGTTGCGGGATCGAGGCATCCCGGGCACGTACATCCTCCCGTTCTCTTCGACGTCTTAGCATCTCCGCATAAGCCTGCTCTTGATCAATCTGAAGAGAAAAAGTTAGCAAATGAAAAACTTGGGAGGCGCATTTTTGGTGGGAAGGGGGTGGGGGGGTGAAGGGTTCAACGGGACTTACCTCGGTCACGGTCTCCACGTCTAGTTGAGGTTCTCCCTCGTCCGAGACGTCAATTTTATCATCTTCTTCCCCGACTTCTTCTTTTTCTTCCTCGTCACTGTCAGAGACCTCCTCTGGATATACGGTATAATCTGGGTTGCTGTCTTGCAAAGGACCGAAGCAGTCCACGAGCCAGTCGTCAAAGGACTTTGCGGTGGTGGCAGCAGCCCCCTGGGTGGTCGTTGTCTCTGGCCATGCTGTGCCATCATCCCATTCCTCAGGGATCCAACCGAGGAATTGACGCATCTTACCGCGTATACCGAATTGTTTCCATGGGTGGGGGGGCAATTTCATATGGGCAAAGTAGGCTGGTACCCCTGCCTTGCCAGCTTCGGTGTGCTCCCAGACATAGGAGAACAGGTGGTCCAACATGACGACTCTGGGCGTCGGGAGATCAAGGCCGTTGTTGCGGAGAGTGAGGAAGACGTTGCGAGGAAAGATGTCGGGGACGGACACGCCCAGATGCATGCACACAACGATCTGACCGAGGAGGCTCTTGATGGCGTCCAAGCATACTTGGCGATCCAGCGG